CTGATTTCAAACTGGATTTGAAATAGGGTGGATCTGCTTCTATAGTGCTATCCAGACATGTAGTTATAGGAAAGATGCTAAACGTCTTTAAGCATTGCTAAAGCTCGACTGTATCGCAGTATCGCTTTAGTTTTGCAGTGGTATACTGGACCAAAGGAAACCTTTCCAAGTGACACGACCGTGTTCTCCTGAGCATCTAAGAAGTGAAAGTAAGAAGAGCGCTGCGTGCTTGCAGTCTAGATCCGTGTCTTTTTGTATTTGTTTCATGAACGAAATAGGTTTTCAACGCACCGCAAAGCTTTCTCACGAACTGCCATAATAATAATAATAAAGGTCGGGTGACTCCTGATGAATGAGACCCTAAAATAAAGTCTAAGCATTTTTTTCTAATATGAACCTTTTTTAATTACAGCGGCATTTACACCACTGGTTCTATTCGTTAGACGTGTGGACACAAGAACAGCAGCATCCAACACTGAGCCGTGATGTTGTGAACGCAATAAAACCGAGCGGCGGAGCAGAGTGACTGGCGGACAGAGCAGGCAGGGGCAGAGAAGCGGACGGGGACACGACACACAACTGCCCACTAGATGGCGCTGTGAACCGACGTCCAGTTGTAGTGGAGCTGTGAATATGTTCTCCACTTCTGTTTTTCTTCAATAACAGAGTTCAGGATTATTACAAAATACGACGAATAATAATGTTGGTCTAGCTGAATTATCTTATTCTCCGGATCTTTATTCTAGAATTGTAATTTTATTAACAAACCCTGCCCAAATACACCAAATCCAAATACATTTGAGGCAACACAAAAGCTGTTTTACAGTGTATGTTATCTAACATAACCACAGATCTTTCTGCAGTCTTACAATTCTTTTTTGATCTAAATTGCAACTTGTAACTCGTGTGGGTTGACTCCATGCTTGCAAATTCAAGTGTCTTTAGCCTGAGGGGCTTTTGTAATTTTCTTTATTTTTCTGAGAATGCAATATTCTCCAGCTTGCATCTGTGATTATCTAGGGAAAATGCAAGAGAAAAACATATCAGTTCCTTCGTAAATACGCGAATAGGAAGATGTTACTAATGCTCAGATTGTACAGAACAGCAGTGAATTACAGCCTCCTGCAGCACTTCTTCCCTGTTCACTGGCACTTGTACCCCAGTCGCTGCTCTCCGGACACGCTGGTGCAGCCGGTGAGACAGTCCTGGGCCAGCAGAGGGACCCGCTGGACTAGTCTGGTGATTGTTACAGTTGAACCTTTCCTGCTCCAGACAGCTTCTCTCACACAGAGGTCACCTTCAGTCACAGTGACAATAACCAGGCAGGGAGCATTCGCCTCTGGCAGAGCTGAGCCTTTTGATCTTCTCTCCTTCCTCAGTATCATGTCGTTTTGAATCTCCATTGCAACATGTCTGTAATCAGCTCAATCTCGGCAGCATGAGCTCCAGTCAAATTCCAAAATCTAAGCTCCTCCTGTTTTAGGAACTCATGTGACCTGAGCTCAGTCCGTTACTCTTTGTAATTTAAAGGAATAAAGCGGACAATAAACCCATATTCTCACTTTTTAAAATGTAATCGCATTACTGTGTATATGTGATCCATACACTTGAGACTTTTCATGAATACATTTCCCAAACTGTTTTTTTTATTTAATAGCTAAACACACAAGAAAATCTAAAAGTAGGCTTTTGAGTCTTGAAATCGGTGAACTCCTATCCTTCAGAAAAGAGCGACAACATCGTTTTTTAATTAAGGAAGCTTAAACATTTTGAGGTTGAGAATTTGTTGCTGATGGTGTTTTATCAGCCTTTTATTGAAACTGCATCCCTGCAGAACTTTTACCCTGATCTGCTGGTGAGGGAATCAGGATCTGAGGAGTAAGAGCAAACTGGGGAGTCTTGTCAGACCAAGTCTATGTCAGAAAGTCATCGGCACTGATCTTCTGGCCCTGCCCCACGCCTATCAGTTACGAGAGTAAGACATGTTCCACCCTACAGGACTCTTCAGTCCATTTGTTTAATGAATTCTAATTACTCTTTACAGAATGCAGATACAGATTTCTCAATTTAAAAACAAACAGGTCATTTATACTAGAGGCCATAACCTTGCTCAGCAGTTCTCTTGGACTTGTATACGTGTATTGTTTGTGTGTTTTGTATTTGTGTCATCTGCTGCTGTACAGCAAATCGCCCCTTGGGGTTAGTAAAGACTCGCTCTCTTCCCAGGGGTCCCTGAGCAGAGTTGATCTCTTCTCCAAGTTTGTGCTTCTCTTACTCCCTTCTAGCCTCGTCAGAGAAGAACTGTATTAATGAGCGAGTTTTAGTATTAACACCAGAGGATGGCTCCTTTCTACAAACAGATTACCGTAGTAATTTAATCTGCTGACCTCAGATTCTGAAGTTGAACTGCTGAAAGATGAGTGCCTTGACTGTTTATAAAGCCTCAATATTTCCTGCGGAAAGAGTCCTGTAAAACTCTCACATGTCTAAAGTAATGCTCTTACCCTTTAAAGCAGATTACATATGAGTTATTTTCCATCATCAAAAACACTGCCATTGCAAGAGATGACTGCACAAGCCTATAATGTAATTTTTTTATTAATTTCTTGCACTGAATGATATGTATGTATGTATTTCCAAACATGTAATTTATTAATAAATGAGAATAACATGTTATTTTAAATATTTTAAGGGATAAGGAAAAAACGGAGCTGTCCTTGTCCTGACCTCTTGTCTGCAGTGCTGACATCTGCCACCAGAGTTTGCGTTTTATAGTTTGAAACAGCAGTTGCTTTATGATATGTGTGAGCTTGATGTTTTTACCCCAAACTGTGGTTCACATCATTGAGAAGCACTGACATGATCCTCGTGCTCAAGAGAAGCAGGCTGGTGCTGTGGAACGTCTTTGCTCCTGGCTGAGGTTGGAGTGGAGGAAGTGTCGACATCAGCAGGCCTGACGCAGGTGTGCACAACTGTACCATAGGAAAAAACATCCCCCTGATGAAAGGCTGTGAATGCTCAGGCTCTTGCAGAATACTGGACCTGTTGGGAATCCAGAAACGCTTTCTCTCAAAAAGCCAGAGACACAAAGTTCACAGCAGCTGTTCTTTTCAAAACTTTTCGCAATTCATTCCTTGAA